AGATTATTTTGTGCTAAATTAACCAATGGCAGTATTTAACGAATCAATAAATCACGCTAAGAAATACAAAGTGATTTGTGTTTTTAAAAAATCGCGGCGATTAGCTTTTGCGATTCAGGTCACGCGATCCGTAACTATGAATTCTCTATGATTTAATGTATTTTGTATTTATCGTGGCTAAATCGCAATCGCGGCACTAAGCAATATATCCTTTATAAAACCAGAAAAAAATGATTGACATTTAATATAAAAAATATATATATATAATTATTTTTAAATAATTACAACAGAAGGTAATATAAAAATGGTTTCAATTTACAATATTCTTTTTATATCAAAAAATAATTATAAAAAAATTTGAGGTGTAAAATATTAATGGATATATCTATTTTGTATAAAAAAAACATTCTATTTGATTCGCCGAATATACGATTCAAAAATTAAAATTTTCAAAAGTTATAGATGAAAAAAAAAGTAAATAAAAATAATAAGTTTCCCAAGGAATATCTTAAATAATAAAAAATCTTAATTAAAAATTATTTCGAATAATACCAATAATTTTAAATTTTTCTTCCGTACTGACGTAGTTATCAAAAATTATGTCATACTTTTTTTTTCCTTAATGAGCCAATAAATATATTTGCAGTTTCCCAATTATATATTTATTCAGGGATCCAAACAGAACCTAAACCGCTAAAAAAATTCTAGCTGAACCTAAACCTAACCGCTAAAATGCTTCTGAACCGGTTCAAGCCTCATGATTTTATTCTTATAAAATAATATGTAAGTTATTATTAGTATATTGAAAAAATTTCAATTATATTCGAATTATTTTAAAATTAGCATCAATCACATTTGATTGATAAGTCTCGGTCATAATTTTATAATAATCTTTATTATATTGTCATTTTACAACATTTTTTAAATACTTTAAGCTTATAAATTATAATGCTTAGAGAAAAATTAAATCCAAAATATTATAAATGACACATCAAATCTGATATTATATTGGCAGTGTCGGCTCAAGTTAGTGTGGAAAGATGTTTTTCAACAATTAAATTTATACTATCTCCTTATAGATGTAATTTGAGTGAGACGAATTTTGGAAATGTATTAATTGTCCGGCTTAATAAAAAAAATTTAAGTAAAAAAAGTAAAATATTGTTCATATTAAAATTAATTATAGATTTTTATATTTATAAATTAAATATTATTTAATAATGTGCAATTAATAAAAATGAAGGTTTAATACATGTGTTTTTTAAATTAATGATATATTTTCCCTATACATAATTCGAATGTAGGTTTGAATAAAGTGTTTAAACCGATTTTTTATGAACCTGAACCTTGAACCGTTAATTTTATCCGAACCGAACCAATATTCGTTTCGGTTTGGATTCCTGTATTTATTTTTTTAAATAATCGTAGAATAAAATCTTTACCTAAATTTGAAATTCAACAAAATTAAATAAAATGTTAAATTTATAATATAATGATAAGGTGGGTTAATTATCTCAAAAAATCAGAGTTGTTAAAGTAGCGCGCTAACTTTTTTGTTAGCCATAGCTAATAGCGGCTACTTTTTTTGTAATTATTTAATTTTTTAGCGCGCTACTTTTATTGAAAATAGCTAAGTAACCGCTACTTCGCTACTTTTAAAAAATATAATGAAGGTAAGTATAAACATGAAAATTAAAATATAATATCATAATTAATTATAATATTGATTATTTAATTTTGAAATTAAAATATAATTTCAATTTGTAATTTATATTTTCATTTATATTGTAAACCTAAAACACGTGTTAATAATTTAAAATGTCATCGCCTATGGATATCCAAATGGCTGAAAGTGATTCAGACAATGACATTAATGAAATGGAAGATACCAGGGAAGAAAATGTTCTTAATAGCTATAATACAAATTCCCTAGATTTGAAAATTTTTTAAATAAATATATAACCAAAATTGGTTTCAAATTTATTTGTTTAAAATGTAAAAAAAATATTTCCTCAAATCAATCCAGTAGCTATAACCTCAAGAAACACCTATAGATAAATTGTCATTTTTACATTCTAATAATATTTATTTTATAAGACTGTTCATGAGTTTTAAGGAAATGGAGAAACATCTAAATAATTTTGGTATAGGCGACTCTACATCTAAAAAGACTAATTCAATTCAAACCAAATTTGTTAATAATGCAAATGACAATATTTCTCAGAAATTGGCTGATAAAGTTATTGTTGATTTTAACATTTATACAGTTCATCCTGTCCTTAGTTGGTAATCCAACATTTACCATGATGATTAAAACTCTATCCCCCTGATACAACAATTTTATGCTGCCAGAACACTAATGAATAAAATAGCAGATAACTTTAAAATGATGAAAGATGCTCTAATAGTAGAGTTATCAGGGATATCATATATATGTACCACGGAAGATAGTTGAACACATAACAGAAGGTAAAAACTTTATAAATTGATCTGATTAAATATTTTTGAGCTTATTTGGGAAACACAGGTCATTGACTAGACCCTAGAACTTTAAAAAGAAGATCTGTGGATTTAGCCCTCAAAATGATAATAGGATGCCAGACATACGATGTACTTGCAAATATAATTATTGATAATCTATCTTATATTAAAAATATGTATATAGGATTAAATACGCCCTTACCCTCAAGGGCTAGTGTCGAGATATTATTTAATAAGGCAAAACTTATACTCTCTGATCGTCGCTCTAGACTTGGGAATAATAATATTGAAATGATTTTATTATTAAAATGCAACAAATTACCATAAATATTTATTTTCATTACATAAATTTTTTTATAATCAAAACTAACTATATTTTAATATTTATAGATGTTGATTTTTATATATTTACTATACAATAACATTATAAGCAAAAAATGAAAAATTTGTTTGTAAATTTTTTTTATAAAAAGTAACTTAAAAAGTAGCTAAAGCTACTTTTAAAAAATAGTAGCTAATAGCGAGCTACTTTTTTGACAAATGTAGCGAGCTACTTTTTTTAACAAATAGCGATAGCGGTAGCGCGCTACTTTTAAAAGTAGTATTTAGCAACTCTGCAAAAAATTATTTATGTAATCAACATTATTAATAATTATTATGAATATCCTCTTAGAAAATATCAAAAACAAATAAACTTAAAACGCAATATATTCTTATTTTAGATCATAGGCGTAGCCGATGGGGGAGGGGGGGGCAAGGGGAAATCCCCCCCCCCTTTAGAAATTTATCACTTTTTATAAATATCATTTTTAGCTAATAAAAAATATCCTAATTAGTTCTCCTCCCACTCCCTGACCCTCAAATATGTATGCATATATTTTAGTAATTTAAAAGAAAGAATGTAAAAGTTGATATTTTTTTATAAAACTATTCATCATAATTTATAGATTTTTGGGGAAATAAATTTATAAATATGTAAAATGAACCAAAAATGTTTTTTTAATAAATGGCATATAAGCCAAAGATAAGTCTTAAGACAGAAGTGAAATGTATTATAATTATTAATAATAGATCCATAAAATTACTAAATAATATAATATATCAAATATAATTTTTTATAAAGTGAGTAATTTTTATTTATTTATTTTAATAAAAGTAAAATAAAATTATAAAACTATTGATAAAATTAAATCATAAATTATAAAAATATTAAAGCACAATACAAACAGTGGAATATTATATGTCGTAGATTTACAGTATATCTAATTATCAAATGACAATCAAGTAATTTTTACCAATATAGCGATATATATTTTACAGAAAACTATAATATATTGATAAGGATATCAGAAAATATCTTTTAAAGACATTGTGGGATGAATAATTTGAAGATTAAATTTAAATATCATTTTTACTTAAAATAAATAGATGGCGTTAAATAATTGAATGCAAATTGTTGCTATATTTAATATCAAGAGCATTTATTAGTAAAATTTGTTAAATTATTAACTATAATATATTCTCTGACTGTCAAATATGTCTGTAGAAGTGGAATTTTACCTAGTATTTTATAACTAATTTTATATAATAGAGTAAAATCAACTATATGTCTACTTACTTTTTACAAATAAATTTCTTATAATTGTTTGGAATAAATTATTACCATGCTTTTATATTAAGGTATATACAATACAAGTAAATTATTATATTTTTATTTTATCTAAATTTTGTTTTTTAATATTACGTTGAGATTAACCACAGCCAATTTACGAATTAGCGTATCTTGTATTATTGTATTCCCCTCAAGTTTTTTTTAATAAATGAATGAATGCAAAATAAGTTATTAAAGGATTTGTACAACTTTACATTTTTTTAAATAAATCCATTCTATTATAATTATAAAAAATAATAACTACACGACTAATTTGCTACTATCTAATAAAAGTATCGTTTCTACCGGCCGCTACTGTAGCGCGATACTTTTAATGGCTACCTAAGATTTTGAAACAATCTAATCTAGAGATAGTTAAAATGAATCCCGGAAAAAAAACCCCTGGAAAAAAAAACCCCGGAAAAAAACCCCCGGAAAATAAACCCCCGGAAAATAAACCCCCAGGAAAAAAAACCCCCGGAAAATAAACCCCCAGGAAAGAAAACCCCCGGAAAATAAACCCCCAGAAAAAAAAACCCCGGAAAATAAATCCCCAGGAAAAAAAAACCCCGGAAAAAAATTCCCCAATAATTTTTTTTCATTTTTATAGAATTTACTTAAGACCGGTCTACTCTTCATAAAAAAAATTCTTAAATAAGAAAAACTGATGTTTAAATTGGTAGTGGGAAAAAATGCCTCAGTAAAATAACTATGTATTGTAAAAAAAATTTCCTATAGTAAAAATACAATACCATCTTTAAATATGATATTAAATAGACTAAATTTGACAAAACTTAGAAATAAGAAATGTTTATTTTATTGGTAAATCATGATTATGTATATATAATTTTATAATTTATAATAATAATTATATTGGTTGACATCGAATATTGAAGGATATCGCTCTTATAAAATCCGGAAGGCTTCGCACCCCATCACGGTATTCTTCGCAAAGTTTCTTTAGCCGAATCTGGTTGTTAGAACTCTGCGATTTTGTTTTATATGTCCAACTACCTACGCGCCATCTTTCAAGTTTGGTTTCGTCGGCAGCCACCTCGCATTTCATTTTTTTAATGAGTACCCAGATTGATGGGTGTTTATTACCAACCAGATTAGAAAAACGATGATTCCAACCTTCGCATTGATTATTTGTTCGTTCTTCATCTGAGAGAGTACTCTGTTCCAGGTTTCTGGAAAAAATCGAGGCTCAATTCGACGTGTTTGGGATTGAGAATTGCTTCTCATGACATTCCTTGATACCCATTGACATAATTTTTATTGAAATAATCGAGAATGTCCTTACCATTGCTCGGAGTAACTGATCTAAGGAATGTCATTGCATTATCCATATCACATAACGGAACAAATGCTAAGCCGTCCATCATGCCACAAAAAAAACTTAGAGTTTCATCCGTCCTATATTCGCTTTCCAGACCCAGCTTCTGAATTTTTCTATGTGTACTTTGACACAAATGGTAAAAACATCCTCTAATTACGATGTGATACCCTAATTGAAAAAATAAATATAAATTATTAAACATATTAATAATCATACCAATGATACTCTTAACCGCGGTCATAGCAGACTTTTCGAAATCCATGTATATATATAATGGATCAGGAAATAAATCCCTTTCCTGACATTTAGACATTATTGTTTGAAATATTATTTCATATGTACTTTGAGTTTTTTTCTGGAGTACACAATAAACCGCTGTAATATAAATATTGTTTATTGCTACTCTAATCACATATAATTGTAGAAAATTTTTTGGGGACATGGCAAAATTACCATCCATATACCACTCTGTCCTATTAGATATTAGATTCAAGGAATCATCTGTTGCGAACATTATTATGCGTTCTTCAGCTTGTGGGCCATTATCAAATAATAAAAATCGTTTTGAGTTCTGGGAGCCACAATTTGCCCAATCACCTATAATATTTAAATTTTTATGAAAATATAATTATATTTAAAGTAATACCTTCAATAACTAGGTCTTCCAAATTCTCAAGATTTGAAGGGTGTTGCATTGCTTTGTGATTCCTTAGAGTTCTTTTTATAGAATCTTCCGATAACATATGCGACTGAACTCTTTGGTCTAATTTTACAATTTCCTCTGCATAAATTTGAAGAGGTTTTGCCAAAGAGTCTGCACATCGCTTCTTCATGTTAGCAATGGATTTCATTGCTACTAGTCCATCAATATTTGATGGATGATTTTGGTATCAAGAACCGGGTCTTGATTATCGAGTGTTGAAAAAAGTATTGCTCGGCATTTAAAAGAAGAATACTTTGAGCAGCGCCATCTAATCTTGTTTGAGCATTTTTTATGTATGGTATAAGAATAACCTTCAAATATGAGCTTTCCAGGATGAATAAGATCCATTAAATTTTTTTTATAAAATATAAATTTTATGAATAAAATATTTTTGTAAATTTAATTTTTTTTTATAAAATATAAATTTTATGAATAAAATATTTTTGTAAATTTAATTTTTTTTTGTCTTTTATATACGGCATAAAGATCCAAATTATTATTGTTTAATTTTATAAATAAATACCAATTATAGCGTTTTTAATTTATAAACAATTTTTATTCTTTTGATTAAAAATACATTTTATAACAATACATTTTAATATCTGTTCATTTAACTAGTTGATGCAATAATATTTATTAACTTGCAATTGTCTAAAAACCAATTATAGCGTTTTTAATTTATAAACAATTTTTATTCTTTTGATTAAAAATACATTTTAAAACAATACCAATCATAGCGTTTTTAATTAATAAACAATTTTTATTCTTTTGATTAAAAATACATTTTAAAACTTTTAATAAGCTAAAAACTAAAGGTAGTTGCATATCAATGAGGTGAGAAATCATGAATAAATTAAAATTATCACATTTATTCAAAATACCAAATGCAAAAAAATTGAGTATTTTCCATTTGCATTTTAATGGTTTCAACTGAATTAAATTGTATATTGGGTGAATGTATATTTGTTTCTATTATAATAAATCACGAATTTATTTCAATATTCATCTTTTAAATATGCATGAATTAAGTTTCAATTTCTTTATATACTGGCTGCTAACAACCAATCAGGTTATATATAGATGTATTTCTAAAAATTGATTATCTGCTTAAATAAATTTGTATTTTAAAAAAAATACATTACGTTTTAAGTATCAATAGTAAATATAAATAACCCATCATATTGGGGGTAAATTTGGATGGTGCATCATATTCATAGGAGACACACCAACTCCAGCAAGATCCATGACAGTAGGAGGAGGTGGGGGTGGAGGAAGCATGAATGGTCTATAAGCAAAAATTTGATGAGGTCATAATATTTTTAACATTATTAACTTGCAATTGTATATATACCAATTCAATATAAATTATTGCTAGAATATACTTAAATATGAGAGTGTATAAAAATAATCTAAAGGGGTTTTTTTCCGGGGGTTTTATTTCCTGGGGGTTTTTTTCCGGGGGTTTTTTTTCCAGGGTTTTTTTTTCCTATTACCAGTTAAAATATAACATTTCTTATCATAACTTACTGAATTATCTTATATCACTATCATTAAAATAAATATTCCTGTTTAATGCCTTAGTCGATATATTCAGAAATGGAATGGAAGCCAGAATTATATGTCGCCTGTTATTTTTTATATAAATTAAATTATCTCGCCTGTGAAGAAGTGTTGTTATCTAAAAGAATCTTTCAAATGACATATCTTCAAATAAGCCTTAAATCGATATAGACATTTCTACATTTATTCACTTTTCATTTCAATGACTATGCACATCGTATTACGCGTCCCGAGAGGAACGTCTCCGTTTTGAACCTAATTAAACAAAATATTTGCATTCTACCATGAACTCTAGAGAGTTTAAATAATCGAAAATTTTTCAGAATTAAATAAATAAAAAAAAATTGTATTAAAATATTTATAACCTCGTAGCTGTAATTATTAAATTTAAATATTATAGTAAAATATATGAAAGAATTTAAAGGCTGTGTCCAATCAAAATGTCAAAAAATAAATTCGAAAATTTATTGATAATGAAAATTAATAAATAAGCAATTTTAAATATTAAAATAAATACAAATCTAAAACTCAAATTTTTTTTTTTTATAAATTTCAAAAATTTAACATTACTTCATTAAAATTTTATAATTTGCGAAAGTTTTAAAACTTTTCGAATTTCTTAAAAAACATTTTCCACATAACCTAAAGATATTTTGTGTGAATTTTATATCTTAGTGGAGACGAAATGGAATTGACAGATTTTCATGATCTGGTCCTGATTGTCGTTCTGTCTCATGTCTCACTTATTTTTTTTACCATTATCATTTAAACATTTTAAATTATTAAGAACGTTAACTACTTTTTAATATTGAAGAAATGAGAAGTAAATGCTTATCCGATTTTCTTCATCATGCCCCTATAAATTTAGCTAAATCAACGGATTTTTTAACCTATATCCAATTATAAAGTCTAAACAAAATATCAAACAAAAATATTAACGTATAAAAAAAACGATAATAATAAATTACTCGAAATAAAATTTTAAGTAAATTAATTTATATATTATTTTTTGAATTTTTAAATTCAGAAAATTAGATTCATTTCAAGATTCTAAATTTCTATATAAGTATTTATAAACAATCAATAAATTGTTTTGGAACTAAATGCATTTATATATTGATACTAGTAGATTGGCCGGGCAAAAGAGAACGAAATGCCCAGCATTAAGGGGGTATGGAGGATAATAAATAAAGCTTGTTCAACTAGATAAAAAAAAATAGGGCCGATGTTATTTTCAGGTTCACAACCCATCCCTAAAAAGCTTAAAAATACGGGCCAAGATGATTTTTTCTTAAAAACAATTTGCAAAAATTGTGATCGGGCCCGTTAAATATTAAAAACTAAAATCCTAATCAAGTCGAAAAATTTCTAAAATAAATCTAGGGTTGAGCTTGGTCCGGTTCTGCAGATCTACAAAATTTTTGCGAAAAATTTATCGCGAATGTCGTAATTACGATTGAATTTTATAGGTAATATTGCTAAACTAATTTCGCAAATTTTTTCCAGCGAAATATTAGTAGAGAAGACAATATCCCAAACAAATTATAACGTATTTATTTCCACAAAACCTTAACCGCGAATACTTATTTCTGGTTTTTAGATTAAAAATCGGTTCAGATGGTTCCAAGTTCTAGCTTCCACGTTTTCGATTAAAATTTTTTTAATAGTTCCAAGTTCCGGTTTTTAGATTAAAAGTTGTATTAGTTCTAAGTAATAGTTTCCCATTTTTAGATTATAGGCGGTTCAAAGTTCTGGTCTCAGGTTTTTTTAAATCAGAACACAAAGGTTCTGATTTGAAACTATGTTTATAAGCATCAAAAGTGATATAAATATATTTTCTCAAATGAATTAAACATTTTGAATTAATAAATGTAAATGGTGCGAGAATGAGTTCGATCCTAAGGTCTGGCCATTTTATTAAAATTAGAGTTTTTATATAAATCAAGCCTTTTATTCTGTTAAGGTGATATGAAATATAATACAAAGTAAGCATTATAATGAAAACACAAGGATACTTTAAATATTAATTATAATAATTGGTTTGAATTATAATCTATAAAATACATTAATCATCATCAAATTCTTCCCAATTTTCTTCCGATAACACTTTATCCCAAAAGTCCATTATTTTTGTTTGAGTTTTATCTTCACATATCTAAAAAAATAGATTTTCAAAATATTTGTTCTAAATGTCAAAAAAGTATAAATTACTTGTTGATGAGTATTAGCTTTGGAAAAATCTTCATTCGTTAATCCAGCTCCCTGCAGAACTTTTAATTTTGACTTGACCAATGGCCTTTTATATAAAATAAAAAAAGGTGTATTATATGTTACATTCAATTATCCATAATTAAGTTTAGGCTAACATCGGAGATTCGCATGGCCCCTAAACCCTGACCAGTGTGCTACAAAATACTTTTTCACATGGTCAAAAAATAAAATTATGAGAACAGGCTGATATTTAAAAAAAAATATTATTAATGAACTGATTCGGAATTGCTGATTTATAAAAATTATTGCCTGATTAAAATAGCTTAGCCAATACCATGTATTATCAATATACATTTAAAAATAGAAGGAAAATTTTTTAGGGAAAATCGGATTTAAGAAAATTCACTTACGTTATTTTCCATTTTTGAATAATTTATATGCATGTTTTTTAATAAAATTTTGAAAATACTACCATTTACAAAGCATATAAATCTTAGACAATTTTATAAGAGGTTCTATACAATCTAATGGAACGGGTTTACAACAGCTGATCGAACCCATTTGCAACATATGCGAACGGTTTGTTAAATTTTTTATTTTTTAAAATCACAAATAAAGAGTTAATTAGCACATTTATTTATGTTACAGGTTGGGGTTACATGTTTAGCATTTAAAATTTATGTTTGGCAACTTATCTTATTTCCCACTTACTAAGAGCTGACAAATTATTAGTAGATCAGCATACACAAATCAAAATTTAGAAAATTGGGCAATTGTGAAAAGGATCTTTCAATTGGGAAAAAAGTATCTTGCCCTTTACCGTGATTTCAAATTTACACAAAAATGAGTTTTTTTAATTTTATAAACATAGATCTTGGACCTTTAAAAACATACTTTCAATGGCATGATTAAGTAGAAAAATTTACCACATTTCTTTAAAATTTAATATAGATCCATATGACTTTGAAAATTTTTTGGATAAATCTAATCTGGTGTTTCTCCCATTCCTAATACCATTGAGAAATGCAAAAAAAAATGGTAAACACCATTTTGTATAAGCAACGCAGAACCTGAAAGAGTATATTTGATTTTGAAGAATGAAATGATATGGCAACAAAAGATAGAAAGTCACTTAATGTGAAATATATGAGTTTAATGGGTGAACATTTATCAGATTAGGATGCTCCATCTTTTGCAAATTTAAGTAAATTAATCATATGGTCGCCATAGACACATTATAATAACATTAAAAAAATAAAATATGAATGTGATAATAAATAAGTATACCTTTGGAATTTGTTATAAATACATAATAATTTTGAAATATATTATTTATAAACAAATGCATAGTGCTTTTATAAAATAAACAGCAAATTATGTTATATGGCAGTGCACGATTGATTAAATATATATACTGGTAATATAACATATATATATTTTTTTAAATGTTGATAGATGAGTCAAATTTAAAAAAAAAATATATCTTAAAATTAATTTACCATATAAAATCGTCTGCAGTATTTTTTGCCACCAAATATTGTATTACCACGTCATTTTCCTGGCCTATTCTGTATGCTCTATCTTCTGCTTGAACCAAAATCTTTTATTTGTAAGAAAAATAATACAAATTAATTTATGAATATATAAAATATTATTAATTTGAAATACTAATGGATTGCAGTAACGCTCAAAATTTTTATTATATTTTTATACAAAAGGTAATTTTGATATAGTTAAAAAAATAGGTAATTTTGAAGATATTAGCTAAAAAATAAATTTGGATAATTTAAACTTAAAAAAGGTCATTTTGAAAATTTTAGCTAAAAAAAAAAGAAGGTAATTTTGAAAATAATTTTTGAGCCCTCTGAGATTGTAAATGCTAGTGACGCCTCTGATGGATCGTAACAAATTAGAGGTCTGAAATGGGCGGGTTAAAACAATTTTAAACAAGAAGTGGGTGGTGGATTAAAAATATTTATAACAGGTGGGTAGATGAATTTTAAAAATAACCTGGTTGAAACGCGGCACAAACCTGATAAAAATTTTCCATAAGATTTTTGGCCAGGTTGGTAATTATATTTAGCCGACCAACCCCTTAAAACATATTTTTTTATAAGTTGTTTTCGAAATAAAACGACTGCCTAATTATCAGATTTAAAAACTTTTTCCAAAATCCGTGATCTATAAAAATATTTGGCACAATTGAACCAGTCCGGTCTGAAAATCTTTGGCCGGGTTTCGCTCATATCTAGTATGCCCACTTTTTAATGCATCTTAATAAATGAATCGTAATTTTAGATTAGTATTAATGTCACTGTATATGCAGAATTAAAAATATGTAAATCTTTTTTTGAATTAGGACATACCCAATATTTTTTATAAAAATACTCCATTCCCTCAGTTATCCCTTGGGATTAAGAATGGCAATATTCTTCTTCTTTACCATTTAATGATAATTTCCTGGGTTGCTCAAGGATTTATTATTAAAATGTAAATTTTTCACTTAAGTATAATAAAATAGCAACTAACGATTAGAGCATTCCAGAGTTGTTAAGTAGCGCGCTAATTAGCCCGCTAACTTTTTTGGTAGCTATAGCTAATAGCGATTACTTTTTTTGTAATTATTTAATTTTTTAGCGTGCTACTTTTTTTGAAAGTAGCTACTTTAAAAAAATATAATGAAGGTAAGTGTAAACATGAAAATTTAAATATAATATCATAATTAATTATAATTTTTATGACTTATTATTTAATTTTGAAATTAAAATATAATTTCAATTTGTAATTTATATTTACATTTGTTTTATAAACCTAAATCACGTGTTAATAATTTAAAATGTCATCGCCTATAGATATCCAAATGGTTGAAAGTGATTCAGACAATGACATTAATGAAATGGAAGATACCAGGGAAGAAAATGTTCTTAATAGCTATAATACAAATTTCCCATTCCCTAGATTTGAAAATTTTTTAAAATAAATATATAACCAAAATTGGTTTCAAATTTATTTGTTTAAAATGTAAAAAAAATATTTCCTCAAATCAATCCAGTAGCTATAACCTCAAGAAACACCTATAGGTAAATTGTCATTTTTACATTCTAATAATATTTATTTTATAAGACTGTTCATGAGTTTTAAGGAAATGGAGAAACATCTAAATAATTTTTAATAGGCGACTCTACATCCAAAAAGACTAATTCAATTCAAACCAAATTAATTAATAATGCAAATGACAATATTTTTCAATTGGCTGATAAAGTTATTGTTGATTTTATAATTTATACAGTTCAGCCAATGTCCTTAGTTGATAATCCATCATTTACCATGATGATTAAAACTCTATCCCCCTGGTTCAACAATTTTATGCCGCCAGACACTAATGAATAAAATAGCAGATAACTTTAAAATGATGAAAGATACTCTAATAGTAGAGTTATCAGAGATATCATATATATGTACCACGGAAGATAGTTGAACACATAACAGAAGGTAAAAACTTTATAAATTGATCTGATTAAATATTTTTGAGCTTATTTGGGAATCACAGGCCATTAGCTAGATCCTAGAACAAAAGAAGATCTGTGGCATTAGCCCTCAAAATGATAATAGGATGCCAGACATACGATGTACTTGCAAATAAAATTATTGATAATCTATCTTATATTAAAAATATGTATATAAGATTAAATACGCCCTTACCCTCAAGTGCTAGTGTCGAGAGATTATTTAATAAGGCAAAACTTATACTTTCTGATCGTCGCTCTAGACTTGGGGATGATAATATTAAAATGATTTTATATTAAAATGCAACAAATTAATTACCATAAATATTTATTTTTATTACATAAATTTTTTTATAATCAAAACTAACTATATTTTAATATTTATAAATGTTGATTTATATATATTTACTAAATAATAACATTATAAGCAAAAAATAAGTTTGTAAATTTTTTTTATAAAAAGTAGCTTAAAAAGGAGCTACTTTTTTTGACAAATAGCGATAGCGGTAGCGCGCTACTTTTTTTAACAAATAGCTAGTGTTGTGAAACGGCTCGATTTGAGCCGATTTTTAAAAACGGCTAACTCAATATTTTATCCAAAATAATATTACGCAAGTCTGAAGATTTTGCTCATAGATGGCACAAAGGTCTAGACATGAATTAGCGAAATTTCGAGGTTTAGGTAATATTTTTCTAGCTAAAATATGGATTTAGCCGTTTTTAAAAATCGGCTCAAAATGAGCCATTTAACAACACTACAAATAGCTATAGCGGTAGCGCGCTACTCTTAAAAGTAGCGTTTAACAACTCTGGAGCATTCTTCTTTTTTTTGAAAAAGAGTGGTAGTGCATGATTCAAAGTAGCGTTTAACAGCACTGATAGCTCATATTTAGTTTATACTTATAATGAAATGGTCAATAAACAACTGACCACTTCCATTTAAAACTAAATATTTATTACATAAATAGTAGTAATTCAATTACTATATAGATTTCATAGTAATGCTACATACCCCTGGGTTCCAGAAGAGTTCTGCAAATATAACCGTTTTAGCAGATGTAAGGTTGATACCCGCGTTAGCAGCTGTGATAGAAAGTAATGCGACTCTACACTTTGGTTTGTTTTGAAATTCGTTGCAGTTTTGCTGTCTAGCTTCGCTACTCGTTTTACCGTCGATTACTACATGGTTAATATCCTTGATGTATTTTAAAAGCATATATTTAAAAAATATTATGTTTTTTTTAAAATTATATATCATGGATTCATAAAAACACATATCTTCAATTCTTGAGGAAACATAGAAAATAATCTCTTTTGTATTAAAAAATAAAGAAACTAAATCAATTAAAGTCTATTTAGAATGACATTTGACTGTAAATTATAATTCAAAATTATAAAAGAAATTTAGGCCTATAATTGATAATGTATAGGTCAGAGACATTTGCACGGCCCGAACCGTATTTCTTTTTTAAAAAATTTTCACGGCCTGGGTTTTATATTTTCAGACCCGGATTTTTATAGCTAATAATGACCATTTAAAATATACAACCTACTCTGGGTATATTGAAAATATAAAAAATACGGCCCGGCCCGTGTACCAGGGCCTGCAAGTCTCTAATATATAGGTAATGTTAGAGGAATTTTTAGAAAAATTGTTAGTTAGGATTTTGTTAATCGAATTCATTACGATTTGACTTAAATTACTAATCGAAAAAAAAAATATTTTTAATCAAATATACATTTTACTAAATTTATTATTTAGATTTATCCACAAACATAATAATTATGCAAAAATATATCCCGTTGAATTATTATGACAAATTGTAATTATATTAGGTTCCAACAAGAAACCATTTTTTAATGTAGTGATTTTTTTTTAAAAATATATATTTATGTCTTTTAAAACGGGAATATTTATCACTCATAATACGTGATATATTGAAAGTAAACGATCGTTCAATAAACTATTGTAGAAGATTTTACATATTTATTGCGAATAGTATAAATCATATGTTTGAAGTTCATACAATTTATTATAAGACAATTTAAATGTTATTATTGGAAAAATTAGAAAAATTATTATTATGCATAGATTATCAAGAAATAAGTTTTTATAAATTAAGTTATTTAAATGATATGGTCAGAGATTATATTATATATACGTGAAATAATCTTAGGGATTTTTTTACTTTTCGCCGTGAATTCACGTTAACTCTGAATGCAGGATTATTCACAAAAAGGTTAATTGGAATTTTTTTAAAAAGATCTCGTGGTTTAAAGTCAAAATGAATGTCGTTTTTTTAAAAAAAATTAAAACGCTTTTTTCTAACATTAATTTTTAGTGGAATTAGAACTCTATAATAATCACCAAGCATGTGACATATTAATTTTAAGCGAATAATATTTTCACATATCCCCTCCCTCCCCTTTCCCCCACTACTAGTGTAAAATTATTATATTATCATAAATATAATTTAAAAAAATGTGTAAGACTCTACCATTGATATCTATTAATGGTTTCAGTTATAAACAGGCTTTTAAAGTATCAAATAGCTGGTGCTTCGAGGCAGTGATTAGATTAAAAGTTTTTATTGCCGTGTTCGGGTTGAGTTTTTTATTTAAAAGTTTCGTTTGGGTTTAAAGTAAAAAGAATTTTTGATGAAAAATTTGGCAGGACGGGAAAAAATTATTGTAGATATTTTATTTAAGCAAATGGTCGATGAAAATCGCTATAAAATCGAAAATTTTAAATTGGCCGGGAAATTTAATTTCCTATAATGGAAATAAAATAAATCTTAGAGTAAAATAAAACGGACACGAACTGTAATATGTGTTTCTTATACTATATTAGTATATTCAATTTTTCTTTGAATCCGAATCGAAACCGTTAGTTTAAACGTGTTCGCGGCTAAGGGTTCAGTTCAAATCATGCCTCGAAAAACGCTTTAAAGGGGCTATTTTACATTTATATAAATTGATATATGTCACCTCTTGGTCCAAAAAGTCATGAATACTTTTAATCATGGCTTTATGATGCGAAAAAACTATGAATTTCTCTTGACACTCCAAAAAATCGGATATATAATTAACGACGGCGGGAGATTTCGCTAACGCTGTCTCCTTAAAATATTGCAACAAGGCGCCCCTTTTTTCCATGCCCTTTAACAAAATGTGATTAAATTTTTATTTTAAAAATAAAAAATGCACAGAGAAACAGAAGATACAGTTTATTATCTATCATCTATCTTATAGTGTTCACCGGGTAGAATGAATGTAAATGGAGCTTGAGCCCCTATGACCCCCCCCCCCCACAGACTAATAAATTATTCAATTACAAAATGGATACTGACTAAGAAGGTGCCCCCCCCCCCCGATATTTTAATGAGGCAATAGGGGCCTGAGCTGTGCAGTTTAGACAAATGAATGGCCCAGACCGCTCAAAACTAAACAGTCTGGGTAATGTTGGCCCGGCATCAACCGATTGGAGGTGGACCTTTCAGGTATGACGTTTTCAAGCCTATGAGGAAAAATATATATGTTTTAAATAGGAATAAATTAAAATTGTAACTTAATTTTGTAATAAAAATTTGAATATTTATATAGGAATCTCCTTCATATCTTGCATAACTTTGCCTTAAACTCAGATGGACTATTTTTTTTCTTATTCGTAAATCATCAATCGTCCCGATTTTTTTTTAAAAAAAAAACAACATTTCATGATCTATAAAGTAAAGTTAACAATTTTTAAAACTTTTAATTTGTTGTTTTCCATGGCTTTGGCCCAATGGTTTAAGGACTTGGATGACTTGGCCGCTAACGATTTGGTGTCCAAGAGTACCATAAATCTACTCTTTCGCGGTAACTCATCTAATACGTCCTCTTTCATTCTTGGATAAAATAAATATTCGCAAAAAATAAACATAGTTTATGATCAGAGTTAAGAGCCAGAAACCCTGGAACTATTTAAATTTTTTTTATATAACTATGAACCGGTATCCATTTTATCCGGGAACCGATTTTAACGGAATTTGAAACCAGATTAAAACTTGAAACCCTAGGAACGGCGTCGAATTAGAAACCGAAAGAACCAGAACAGTACCATTCCAGGTTCCAAGCCTCTGATTTATAATAGTATAATTTTTTTTTAATCTCTTCATCATTTATCAAATTTCGTAAACATAATTTAGAAATTTCAAATGAGGAAATGTGGAAAATTTGGAATATAAATATCATTAGGGATTTAAAAATATTAATGTTATTAGAGCCGAGGATGAAAAGAGAAGTATTATCGATGAAAGAGAAATGGGTACTATAAATAGTGTTAAAAGAGGTTGTGATGGTCACAGAGAAAATTGTGGTGGATCCTATACTCTTATACTATATTTTAATTATGGGATACCTTATAACAAATACCAAACACGATTTCAATCACATTATTTTATTCAATAATTTTTTTCTTTTACACTATATATTTTTCCCGCGAATATATTTAAAAAATTTCCACAAAAAGAAAATTTTTTTAAACTTTCTTGCAAAACAAAAATAATATTCAAACTAAACAAATAATCTTTCTTTGATAAAACCGAACTAAAAACAAAGGTACAAACTTTTACTTTATTACGTCACGCCCCCTTCAAAAAAAAATCCCCAGACATTAGATTTGTACGATACCAAACCGTCTCGAACCTATTCAAATATCTAGCTCATCTATAAGAGCTTCTGCTCTCTGTTCCTCTATTTAATTATTGTTATTTACTGTATTCTCCCCAACAGTCACTAGGAATAGCCACCACTGGCACCACCCTCTCTCTTTTATTGCATGGCTCTCGTTTAGAATTTCTTACTACCAGATCCTCAGAATTGGTTTCCCGTACCATTTTCATCTAAATTATTCCACGACATTTCCTGCCATAGGACACATAATCTATGTTCCATTCATTCTCATGACATGAGAATCTCTCCATGTGGGGAATGGAATGTGATCCTCCTCCACTTGCTGAGCCTCCGATACCACTCTTCCTCTTGACTTAAATGTTGTAATCGACGGACATGTCTTGATATATGACCCACACCTCAGCAGCCATAACAAATCACAGTCATCTGGCTTCTCCTGCTGGATATCAATCTTCCTTGACCATTAGTCGCTCCTATATTCCCACTTCGATTTTACCTATCAATCAACAGTGCTCAACTTGATACGTTAAAACACGCTTACACATCATAGAGGTAAATTCAGTAGATATTGGTTGTTCAACAGGTTATTTATGATTCGAAAGATTGAGACAAACCTGATGTCTGAGGATTTTATTTGGAGGGGGAGTGACTTAATACAGTAAAGGTTTGTACTTTTACTTTTTTTTCGGTTTTATAAAAGAATGATTATTTGTTTATTGTTTGAATATTATTCATTTTAGTCAATAAATTAAAGAAAAATAGATCATTATTATTGTTTAGCAAGAAAGTTATTTTAAAATTATTTTTTTTTTTTTTGATATGTAAAATTTTAAATATTCTCGGAAAAAATATATATTGTAAAAGAAAAAACTTATTGAAATAAAATAGTGTGATTGAAATCTTGTCTATAGTATTTGTTACAAAGTTTCCCATAATTAAAATAAGAGTATAGGATACACGACAGTGATGATCAAAATATTTCAAGTATATCATAAACTTCAGAAATAAAAGTAGCATGTTTAATAAATAGAAAATTATGTGGAAAGCAGTAACTTCCATAAGAAACAATCAGATTCCGGCCTCATGTTGGAGGAATGGGATTTACCCACCATGCCTATTAAGAGAAGTGGCATTTTACTAACAACTCCTAGTTTCTTCTTTAAAAAGAAATCGGCCGATCAGGGTTAACATTCTTATTAAAACAGAAGTAGATTGAAGATCTGGACATCAGGAAAAAAACAATGAATTAAACAATATTATAAAATTAATATTATAGATTCATTTTATTATTATATATAAAATAAAGTTAATATTGTCTAAAAAAATATTTATTTGAATTTGACAATATTTGACCGGTCAAATATACAACCCTGGTTAGGATTTTATGAAAAATTAATAACGAAAAGTGGAACATCCAAAAGTAGACGAACCTAATAATATATAAGTTAATTTTTCAAAAAAAAATATGTTCGCCAAAAGTATATTGGTCACATCTTATAAAGTGAATGTTTTCTCTTATCAAAGCTAATCTTTCCTTTTAGTCTAAGCCTACGCCCAAAAGACCTATTTCAAAAACGAATACAATAGTAATGAATTATTCGCATTTAATTATTTTGAACACATCGAATAACTTACTTATAGTATTCTTATTCGATTGGCATTGTAGTAAATTGTTAATAATCCATTATTTGATTCGTATTCATTTTTCGAATAGGCCTAAAACTTGATTATTTATCTTCCATGTTTTTTTACTTGTAAATTACCCAAATTATTGATCGAATAAAATGAGGCATACGTAAGTTTATTTTGTAATAAATAGAGTAAAAAACAAACTTCTTATTTATATGTAAATAAAAAAAAATATTTCAAAATGACAATCAATTAGGGAAGCTTTGACGTAATCCCTCATTCAGAGTTAGCGCGAATTCGCAGGGAAGAATATAAAAAAAAATTTATACTTCACCGTTAATTCGCTAAAACCGCGAATGAGGGATAATGCATTAGGTATAAAAACAAACAAAAAAAACAAGTTTGGGCATAATCTAAAAAATTAAAATTTTTAATGAGATATTAATGTATATTTATTTTTTTGTTTAAAGTTGCTACTTAAAAAAAATACCTCCTAATCATAATTCTATTTTCTAGTAAAATCTGCAATTCGTTCATATTGGAAGATCCAGAATAATCCCATCCCCAGTTGTTTCTTTTAGCGTCGCAATACCTTAGACAATAATCGTGAAAAGAAGGGAACATGCGCTTGTCGACGCATTTTATTTGAGTGTACAATTCTTCGGGACGAGATAAGGCCGGCGTTCCCGAACATAAAATGACACGAGAGCAATTCTTGATGATAGAATTATTTTTTTAATATAAAAAACCTTCATAAAAGTTGACAATATAAGTGGCCCCTTTGATCATTATATGGAAGAAAAAAATAAAATCATATTTTATTAATATAAGACTTATTAAAGCTTCTATAAATCAAAGTAATATAACAATCTAAAATTTCTAGAATATTTTTTGATGATTACTATTAATAATAACTAGCAGATAAGTCCGTCAAGATTGACAGATGAATTATAAATTCATGAGTGCATCAAACATTCGCCTTTTTTTTCTGAGGTATGAATCAGATACATACCTTCTATTTTTATGGGAAATGATTTCAAAATTTTCCATTATTTTGATAAAATATGTTAATGAAAATAAATATTTAGTATTAATATGAACAAATTATTGTATAATATTTGTAAATATACCAGAGTTGTTAAAAGATACAATGGATCTAGATACAGATATATCGTCTAAAATAATATCTAGATACAGATATTTTAATCAAAAATCTATCTAGATACAGATACAGATACAGAGACCACATTTATATATCTAGATAAGATCCTTTAACAACTCTGAAATATACTATTTTTAAAAGATACCGATTTCATGATAACTCAACAAAAATGTTTTCATATTTTACAATAAGATCTTTATGAATTACATTTTTTTATAATATTTTTAATTTAATATCTAAAACAAATACTACTGTATAGAAATATACTTGAAAATACTCTTTCTTAAGCATATACAAATATGTTCCAATTATCTTTTCTCATATTAAATATGACATCTTCCCTCCATAAACTAATTGGGGTAATGGTCCGTTCTTGAGGATTACCCCTCGTTTCATGTTAGCAATTGTTGTTAACTAATCGATATATTATCTATTATATTTAAAAGACCTTAACAATGGTCATCACGGTTTTACACCTAACGGCTTTGGAATTTTTGATAAAATGAGATTCGTCGAGAATGATTGAACGACAGTCTTTGATTTGATTGTTCACAGATTCGCACAACTTTTTCGATATACCTTGTTGTCTGGCTAACCAATCGTAACTCGTGATGGTGATCAATCCAAGATCCGCATTGCGCGAGTTGGAACAGGCAGCGGAAGACGTTATAACGTTGATTTCTTTGTGAGGAATGGAAGGCACCCATCTTTTGATTGACTTCGTAATAAATAGTACTAGAGATTATATAAAGAACTGTATTTAAGAAAAAATAACTGATCCTTTACGTCTAAACTAATCAATCAAAAATTATAACTAAGTGTACATTATCCAATACTAACCTCGAGCCATTGGAATCTAACGGACGAAGGACATACAATAAGCAAAGGCCAATCTTCCCTATAATAATGGGCAATCCCCAAAGCTTGTATAGTTTTTCCTAGTCCCATATCATCGGCCAATAAAATTCTGCCCTCGTTTTTGATAATACCCATCCTTAAAAAAAATTATTATTTGATATGAAAATTAAGGGTTCTGAAGCCGTCGAAATTATCAAACAAGTTGTAAATATTAAAAGGGGGTTCAATTCAGAGCGGGTTGAGTAGGCCAAACCCCAACCCAGCTTCAGGATTCGGTCCAGATTTATAGTTTTTTAAGAAAATACAAATCAATATTATATAAAAAAAAATAGAGCAAATAAATGTGAAAAATTGGATTTTGATAGTATTTTATAAAGATTTACAAAAATAATTTAAATTTGGTAATTGATCTTCAAGTAATATAGAAATAAATTATATTCGCATTTTTAAAAATCTCTTTCCTATATATTAGATCTGTTAAAAAAAATAGTTGATAAAGAAAATCTGAGATTATAAGATTAAATAACTTAAACTCAAAGTAGTAATTCAAATTATATACTAGTAATTTTAATTAAGATAAATTTACAGCAATAGAAGATCTCTGCCTGGGCAAGATGGTTAATTATTTTTAAAAAAATACATAAATAAAGTTTTACAAGCAAAATGTCACATACTGATATAACTATTTATTAAATCAAGATTTCGATATATCGTCGCCTGCGAATTAGATTATTCCATCTCCACTTTTTGTAATTATACAAGAAACCAATTTTAAAATTAAGCTTCTATAGTTTTCAATGGGAAGGTTAACATTATATTCGCTATAATTTAACTTATTTTATAAATTTTTCGGATTTTTTTCATGTATATAAAGTATATAGTATAATTATAAAAATTAATATGTAAGAAAATCATTTTTGACAAAAAGTGGATAAGAAATAACCTATATCTCAGGTATATATTGTATATTTATTCATAGTTATACTGTATAAAAAATTTACAACATTTTCCTCAATGAGCGAAAAATTAAATATATTATAAAGTTTAAGAATAAAACATAATAATAAAAATAATAGTTATATTAAGATTTTAAAAAAACTTTATGCCCTCCCTTTGAAATGGAAATAGGCTAGACACTAAAAATGGATCTATTTTTTTGAAAATATTTTCCTCGGGGCTATCTTTATCTTCTTCACTCTCATTCTTATCATCTAAATCATTGCTCTTTTCCGGATTCAACGTTATTTGGGAATTTGAAGAAGCAGAAGATTCCTGGGAACATAAATGTTCGGTTTTCAATTTTTTGTGAGAACATTTTTTATTATCAAGAAAAGTTGATATAATAAAGGAGGGAAGACCGTCTATTTTTACCTCAGGCTTCAGACATTGAACAGCATTCACTGAGTTCAAATAAATAAATAGATATAGTATATTTAATATATTTATAATAATGGTAATAAACTTCAAAAAAAAAGAATTAAAAATACTCATAAAATATTTTTTACGGATATAAAATTAATTGTAAATTTTTATGGCAAAGATTATCTGGGTAAAACACTTCTAAATTTTATATTATATGTATTCTATTATTTTTGCTAATATGATGAATATATTATGCATATTTTATGATGACATTTATTGAATAGTGTATTTCAAGGAACGATTATTATATAATTGATGGTTCTATGTTTAATTGATGTTCTCGTTAGTTTTCTGGGTGGTTAGGGGAGAGAGGCTTAATAGTTAACCCTTAAATATATCTAAAAATTAATTAATGTACTAACTCAATCTATCATGATCATTGATTGCAAAGGACCATTTCTTTGTCGCAGGATCTAAATAAAAAATAGGTAAGAATGAATGAATGCATACTCCAAAGGTCTGCGACTGGCGGGTTTTAAGTGCATCCGCTCAAACCCATAGTGGGAGAGTTTGTTGAAAAATCCCGCCTATTGCAGGCCTCTAATTGACTTATTTAAGTAGTGTTGTAAGAACGCTTCAAAATGAACACGTTCGTGTTTTAGAAAAAAATGATGAACGACGTTCCTTTTATTTTTGACGAACTTTGAACGTGAACGCGTTCCTTTTTTATGACGAACGCGTTCGAATTTAACGTTCGTTCAATTTTAAAAATATTTTTATTTATTTGAAAAATTTAATATTTCCGAATTTTTTTAAAAAATGTATTATTTATATTTTTTAATCGGCTGTGTATTTCCTTTTCACATTTCAATTTTTTTAACACATAATTTATTAATTTGATTATTGTTTATATTTTAATTTAATAGATTAGCATAAGCATGGATATTATTATTTAATCCTCATCATCTGATTCCGATAATCCAAAATCAGATGAATTATCATTACTATGGCCAAATATGATAAATGTTTTACATTAACATCCTATATTGAAGGAACCAATCCAATGCTTACCAAGTGTAAAATGTGGCCAAAAAGTATTGTATTGTCAAAATCTTCAGGTTCAAATTTAAAACGACATTTGATTTTAATATTAATTATGATTTTATATGATAAACTAAGCTAAATCATTAAATTTGAAGAAATAATGCATTTGGGATATTTGACACCACAATAACGATAGTTATTTTATAATTAAAAAAATTAGTGGCCTCAAATATGGTCAACTATTGATAGACGCCGTATTAAATGGGATTAATAAAAGGTATTAAACCTATCACTCTCAATTATTACATATATTTTATTATTTTAAAGATTTGAACATATATAAGGATCAATATGTTCTTTCTGCAATTATAAATCCAGCCTTCAAACTTCAATGGGCATGGATAAAACTTCCACAGAACGAACCTATTAAAAATAAACTTATAGCGTTATTGAAAAAAAATGCTTTGAAAACCCTAGAGAACTATTAATTTCGAGATATCCTTTTTTTTGTCGAGAGTAGAGAATGGATTGGAGGAGGATAACTTATCTCAATTTTTGTAAATAACAAAACAATATATTTTTAATTAATTCTCCACGTTAAAAGAGCTGTTTATTAAGTATAATACCCAATTCCCTCATCCGCCCCTGTAGAGCACGTTTTTAGGATAATGCCGTATTAACTGCCAAGTGTTCCTGTCTATCAGATAAATATTTTGAAAACAATTGTTATTAAAATTTAATAAAAAAATTTTTTTATAAATAAAAATATCTTTTTATTCGCTATATTATATTATATTTTATTTATAATTATATTTTCAAAATAAAACTATATTATTTTTTAACATGGCTAAAATATATTGTATTAAAAAATATAAGTTTATTTATATTAAATTTAATTTTAAAAAAATTAATCATAAAATTTTGAACGGTTTTATGAACATGAACGCGTTCCTTTTTTTTGAACATGAACTTGAACGCGTTCGATTTTTGTCAATGAACGTTGGAACGCGTTAGATTTTTTTAGAAATGTTTACAGCACAAATTTAAAGTAATGATCAATTCCATTTTTAAAAAATTATTGATTGCAAATTTTTATAACTTATCAAAGATTATGTCATTCAAATAAGAAATATAGCCTCTAGACTCCTCCCAACCTCAAGGGAATGAAGGCTTCCGTATGAAGATAGCCTCTGGCTCAATGATGCTAGAAGTTAACTTCCCCTCTTCACCTAAAAAATTCATTTTCATATTAATGAGTACCAAGGTTCTAGGGGTTGGAAAATCTAATAAAGGTACTATTTTTTAAAATTAAAATCATCACAACTAACAAATTCAAGGGTTTAACTGTAATTCTATCGGGAATAAAGTGGTAGGGATCTTGCAAAATGTCCCCATATTAATAGAACATTTCTCCAAATCCGATTAGGGGAGGATGGTGTTTTAATTATCTAAAGTTGATTTTTTATTACTTGAGAAAATTACCTTATAAAAAGAATTGACACCAAAAACTTGAGGTTTAATTCATATTTTGTGGTAAATTATTTATTATGACAAAGGTCACCTTATCTATCATTCAAGGCATACATTTTACAATTATTTCTAGCAGAGTTAAGAAATGAAAGGATATTAAGAAAAACAATAATGAGGAATAAAAATACTCCCCATCCATCACTCCTTTATGAGTATCTGTTATAACTTGAGGCCTGAACAGGCTGCTGAACCAGCGTTTGGCTATGTATTGGGCATTGAAGACTTTTTTTGGCTCAGATTGGGCTAATCATATGTTATTTTTAATTATACACATGTCATTCATTCATTTATGTAATTTCCATTACCCAAATTAATGAATTCCAAAATTTACATTTTGTGACTAGTTAAAAATCATAATTATTCATATTCTGATTCTATTGATATCTTTTTTGATATCTTCATTACTATATAATATACAAATTAAATAAAATATTATACTTAGTTTTTAAACTATATGGGATTGATAATAGCCTATTTATGGAGGATAAATATACTTTTATTTAAAGTGGCAATATGTCAATAAATACACATAATATTTTATTTTGCCTTAGATTATTACAATATTTAATCTTAAATTATAAAATAACTTTAATCCCCAAGCTGAAACAAAAAATATGTGCTCGGGCAGGCTTGAACAACTAAAAAAAATTTAAATCAGGCTTGGGCACAAAAAAATTAATTTATAGGGATATTGTCATAAACTATGATGATAGTAAGAGGTCTCAGGTTATATAATTATGAAATTCATAAAATTATGTATTAATATAACAAGTTTTAATTTTGTATTTATTTTAATATGAAATAAAATTATTTTGATAATAACCATATATTTTTGAAGGAATAGTTTTGAATATATTTATCAGTTTTTGATTGAATGAGGATTCAACATCAAATCGTTTTGGTGATTTAAGAATGCACTTACCTAAGGTAATTTGAGAGAATAGAAGACATTTGTTAAGGCCATTTTTATTATTATTAACATCAATATTGTCTTTAGGGGCTTGAGCAATATTAAATTGTGTTTCAATAATATCTGGATATAAATATGATCAGTTTAAATATTAGTAATTATAAAAAAAAAAATACACAAATACATACCATAATCTTTTCCCAGTAAGAGGCAACCTTCAATCCCTGATTTAAAAGTTATGTGGGGTTCCAATATTGTACAAGCTTTAACTATTTTTTGAAATTAGGTTATTGATAGGTTAATAAATTATCTATATTTTTGGGGGTATATTTAATTAAGATTATTTCTGCCATATAATAAATTAATTTGAGACTTTCAGAAAAATGCATGGAGATCAATAAAATATATCATTCACATTTAGTTATTAAATAGATCTTGAAAAAACATCATTACTTAATTTTTGGTGATCTGTTAAACTGAAATTCCATCTCTTCTTAACTGGATCTATAAATTTTCTTATAAATAATAATCAAAATATTGAATACCATATCTATTACTCGATATAGTTTTAAAAATTATAATCAAATCTTTATCATATCCGAATACAACCTCAAATCTTTGATCGGATATTTTAACGCAAGATGCTAATCGTGGTATCTTATGATTATGAAAACTTTTCTCCATCTCGCCACTTTTGGAAATTTGAATAATCTTAGGTTTCCGCAAAATATAGAATCATATGTTTTATATTTTTCGTTACAACAATTATTAGGATATGTACATGTGGAGTGAATGCAGTTGTTCCGGCAAAATAAAAACCATCTGAAAGAACATAACAAGATTAGTGTAAACTAGAAAATACGTTGGATAAAAATTTATTATTTCTATAGTTATATGGATTTTCTAGATACCCTCCTAATTTGATTTACTACAGCATAGATCTAATATAACTTTTAGCCAAAATATGAATTTAATTTCTTCTTATCCTTAAATTAAGTTCTCACAGTTACTGAGATAGAAAAAATTTAATCCGCTCGTCTGAATGTCTGTTATTTTAAAATTCACTCGTCCACCCATTTATCATAAATTTTTCTAACCTGACAACCATGTTTAACAGATATTTGATTGGTTGATTTATATTTATTCTAATCCTAGTGATTTTAATAATTTTTAGATGAAATAGGACAAAATATATTTCTGTAAAAATTAATACTTTTATTATAGACTTATTATAATACCATGATATTGCTGATCATAGACCAAATCTATATATTGCAAATCATAGATATCAAATAAAACTTTTGCTCTCCTTTTAAATGTAATTATATTAATGTCAAACAATATGCTATGATAATGCATTCATTATAAATGAGGGGTTTTTTAATTGAATTCATGATCTAAAAAATAACTTCTTTATATTCACAGTATTTTGTTAATTGGTAGTAGAGCTAAAATAATTTAAGTTATTCTTTTGTAGTACCAGTATAATTATAAACATATAATATGGGAAAACATATTTACTCCATTTGTAGCGATTTTTTTTAAAAACATAATTTAAACACAAGTATTTACTTCCTAGTGCTTCACATTAGATTTTTAATATATCCTATTTGATAGTGATTTATTTTAAAAGATGTATTAATTCCGAAATAGTGGATTTGATTGATTATATTTATCAAATTAAAAAGAAATTGTAAAGATACCTTTATATTTCACGATCTTTTAATATTTGAATTTATTTTAAAAAGAATAAAAAGGTATCATTCAAGTATTAAAAGGATATCGACTTCTGTGACAATCCTCCTAAATTTAAAATAAAATATCCCCCCTTTTCTGATGAATTTTACAAGTTATCTATACGTTTCTTTACAATTTCAAAACATAGCATCTATTAATATTTCAAATTTTCTCTACCACCCGCTTTTCTAAAAATATTTTTAAACTATGGGCCCAATGTTAGAAATTTTTTAACTAACCAGCCTTTTGCAGATATCTACTCCATCTCTCAAAAAAAACTGAGCAAAAAAAAATGGCTTGAATTAGCATGGCGGGGTTAGGATTTAGGCAACTAGCAGTACAGTTGTAATTACCCATAGAACTATGAAATTTAAATGTTATGTGATTATGAATTATTTATTAAATTATATTTTTAGATTGTCGTGAAATATGAAAGTTATTTAGAAGAAAATTTTTTTATAGTTGGATGTCATTGATTTATCTTTTTTACAATCTACTCTGTGTTGCATTGCGAGGTATCAGTGTTTAATTGAGTGGGAGGTAGGAAGCTTGCGATTGACGAATGTGTGGAGATCTAAGAACAATTAGTTAGTTATAAATGTCACCAATGACAGAAGAAAATATTGATATGAAAGATCATAAAATAATATAATTAAAATTATCAGATGTTCTTTTATTCCATTTTTATAATTAAAATAGTTTATAAAAATGTGGATTAATATCATATCAAAAATGATTAGCTAACTTTTAAAAAAAATTAGGCTCTTTAATTTATATAATTTTTTTATCAAATCTTTTTCCCCGATTATAATTATATATATAATATCTCTGAACATCTTAGATTACATATCGCGTCAATCTATTTACTAATGTATCCGTTATTATTGATTTTGGATTTTTTTTTATTGTATTGTTGGTTAGTTTAATTTAAAGTAGAAAAATTAGTTTTAATTCCACGTCAAATAAGCAGAGTCAATTCAGTGCGGCGACACGGCGCCTCAGTTGAAATTTATTATAAATTTATTTGTATAAAACAAAAAAATCATTAAATAGAAGTCATGTCGAGGGTTCGCTCAATTAATATATTTTTCATTTATTTTTACAAAAATCTCAATTTTATTTATAAATTGCATAATATCATTAAAATATTTAATAATATCAAAAAAAACTAATTTAAAACAAATATTTATACCCAGATCTTTTTGCTGGACCAATTTACTTATTATAAGATAAGCTGATCCAAAAAAAATCAAATTATTTGATCCAGGTTTTGAACCGTTAAGTATAGAGGAACAATTCGTTTCAGTTTTTTGTTTGAAATTATATTTGTTCCATCTTTATATTTTTTTGAAGAAATTTATTACGGTTCGATTAAGAATTTATAGGTTATTTTCAGTTCGTTCCGCTTTTTATAAATTTGATTTTTAAAAAAATTAATCATAAACTATATATATATTAATAGTAAAAAATCTTTTTAATTTATATTTTTATATTCCTTATTTTATTTAATTATGAAGAATATTTATAATCTAATTTATCAGTAATTTGCCTAAATCTCTATTAAATTGAGTAAAAAAGTAAAAACAATAAACTTGGTATTTATATTTATTGATTAGAAGATAATAGCGATTTAAGTATAAAAATTTATAATTTAGAAATCACGAATTTATATTGCCCCCAAAGAAATTTCAAACTTAGGTTAATAATTTTAAATTAATTATTTTTAAAAACCGTTATGAACCAGGTTAAATCGGTCCAAAAATATATATAACAGTTCGGTTCACTCTTTTTATATTTTCTTTATAACGGTTCGTTCCTGTGGTTCTGTTCGAAACCCTGATTTAAACATAATATTTATTTTAAAAGATTAATAGCATTAAGGATTTTTAATAAATTTATCAAATGTCAATCTTAGAGGAAAAAATATTTTTGAGTCAATAATTAGTTTCTACATTAATACAATCGATAGATATGATTGTAAAATGTTAACTCTAGCATGAAACTTCCCTTTTATTAATCCCTTACCAATAATTCATTAAATTTTTTTGGATAAACATTAAAACGACCGATTAAGATTTTAGTCAAAATAATATGTAAGATCCAAGATAGAGGTCCAAACCTTACTGCCATCTATGCGCAAAATCTCCAGGGGTTACATAAAATTATTTTGGCTAAAAACATTAATCAACATATCTTATAACATGGTAAATTGGTCCGCCAAAGAATTCCGGGTGTAAACATTGGTTTATTAATTTTTTGATATTACTAAATTTTTTATTGTTTACACAAATAAAATTGAGATTTTTGTAAAAAAAATAAAATAAAGGACCTTCAAAAAAACTCCCATTTAATCATCCTTGTTTTATACTAATATATTTATAATAAATTGCAACTGTATTAGATACGAGCCGAATTGACGTGAAAACGGAATTAGTTATTTGCCTCCTATATCGTATTTTTTTAAAATAAAATTTTATTAATTACAACTATTTATAATAAAATAAAGAATTGTTTCTTATATAAAAAATTTTTAGCATTGTTGGTTTGTAATTTTTACTATAAAAAATATTGCAGAAAACATTATATAAAAAGAAATTTATTTTAGAAATTATAATAAACCCCTAATATTTATTATATATAATTATATAATAATGCACTGGGAGACATTATAAAAATAACTTGTAAAAAATTAAAATATATATATATTTGTGAATATTTTATAGTTATGATAATAAATATTATGTCCAACTACAGAAGAAAAAAAATTATTGAAGTGGTATATTTTTCGCTTACCATAAAAACAAAACATTCATCGTACTTTTCTAAATTATAAAACACAACAAATAATATTTTCATCATAGATAATTATTGTGGGGTATAAAGGAGGGGTCAATATTGACCCATGTAGTAGCCCCCGTGTTATTATTTTCGTTTCTCCTTCTTTCATTATTATTGGCAATGCTACTACCTCCGCTGTCTCCTCTGCTTGTATTAAAGGTATCCGGTACAAGAGTACCATAATTGTGGTTCCGGGTATAAGGAAAACGAGATGCTAGTGTGCGATTAGCACCAATGTACGTCCCACTTTGTGGTTGATAATACCCATCCATCCCGGTTCCGGGATTCGAGGTGGAAGAAGAGAGTCTTCTGCTGGAAGACGGAGGGTAGGGGTAAGATGGGGTGACCATCGTTCGGTTATTGTATATCGAGGGAAGATGCGTTGTTTGCTGTTGTGAAGGAGAATGATAAGTGTGGTATGCGTTGTAGGATGGATTGGGGTTGCTTAAATTCGATAGAGCCCTGTCTTGAGTTTCGGTTATATCATGCCAACTGCCAGAAGAACGATGGGGAATATTATTATGATACCCTAGTTGGCTTTCACTGAAGAGAGTATTATTTGGGTTATTATTGTTATTAATACTTTGAGTATGCCTATTACGGTAATTTGGGCTGCTTTGGCTTTCTAAGTAGTTGTTTTGTATGCGTATAAAAAATTATATACTTTCATAATCCTTCATTTTTATTTATTTTTAAAGATTTTGGCTTATTCACATTGTCTAAAAAAACGAAAAAAAGTTTAGTGATTAATAATTTAAAAGGTTATTGACACAACAAAATAAATCCCTACAGGAAGGAAGTGATAAGAAATGGACGTTTAAAAATTTAAACCTTTTTAAGAATTTACACGGTTTTTATAATATTCTAAATGAATATATGATAAAAATTATTTTAAAAGAATACACGCACACTATATCGAGGAATTATTGAGGGTCTATGTCTATGATTACAAGAGATAAATGGAACAGTTAAACATTATTACATATTGTTGTAAGGACTTTGGTCAAATATACCAACCTTATTGTGATAACTCAAATAATTTAATAAATTAAACTTAAATATTTTAATGAACTAGTAATTATATTTAATATAGCTATAAAATGAATATTCATTACTTAAAATTTGCTTTATAAATGAGAATAAATTTTTTTTTAAATGAGAAATGACACATACCATCCCCGGATGTATAAGGGTTATTATAAGCGGTGGTCGTGAGTGGCCAAAATTCGTCGGAACTAACGACAAAATCAGGCACGACGTCGCCTATGCGAGCTGAAAAATGTTCGCTATCATTATTTTAAATATACAATTGATAAGTAGGTTGCTCAGTAAATAAAAACATAAGTATTCGATATTTAACCCAACAATTTTTCGTGTCCAAGTTCAAAAATACAATGTATAATATAGTTAAAATGTGATTATATTATGATATTATGATTATCTCCATAACAACATGATATATTTTACCCACCTGAGTCAATTTCAATCAAGGCTATTACCTACATATCTTACTATGAACAAAACCTCCCAACTTGCCCGGTCATAAAATAAAATATATCTTATCAAATTTTTTCAATAAACATACCCACTCCATTTAATATTTCAATTTAAAAATTAACCAACCTGTTACCATTATCGGATGGGGGAACGATCGTGGAGGACATTGCGGAGGAATCAGATAGACTGTATTTTTCGGCGTGGTATATGCGGAATATCTGGCCAAGTAACATGGCGGCATCGGAATCGTTGAACCACTGGCCAAGGTTGAGTGCCTGGGTCTGGACAAAACTCTCGTACATATTTAACAGCACTTATGAGTGGCATTAAGGAAAAAAAATAGGCAAATTATAAATAATCTCATGACATTAAAAAACCAATTTATCCAGTAATAAATGAAGCCTTAACTTTCTCTTTTCTTAGTTTTTTTCTTTCCTATATGTTCCCTTTTTCCTCATTCTACTGTCGTATTTAATTAATGGATAATTATAACTTTGATAAATTTCATGAAAATAAAGATATATAAAGGGGAAAAAAAAAATTTTTAAATAAAGGCTCCAGAATTGAATGGAGAGTAATTTAAATAAGGTAATCATTTTTTGGCCTCAAACCATTTAAACTGAGAAATGTTGAATATAAGTGAAAAGGTCCTAAAATTAAATATTTTCCTTTTTATTCCTTCTATAAAGTCATTTTCTTCAAAAAATAGTATTTTATACCCATAAACATTTTGGGGTTATTAAGACCCAGCAATATAGTAGGATCCGCGAGTAACGCTTTACAGATAGGACTATTTTGGGGTAGAGTCAAAAACTCTTCGTTTGCATGTTCTTTAATGGGACCATGTTTTTCGGAAGGCAAGTGCTGTTTCAGATTTACCGATGGGAGGGCGTTAGCATCATTTCTGTTCTTGTCTTGCAACAGCCATTCACACTTAATTATACCAGTAAGAGAATACAGGTTATCATAATAATCTTTTTTCTTTAATTTAGTTCCAGGAAAAAAAATGTGGTAAAGGGTCAAACTTCACCTATTTTATTTAATTAATCCGGACTCGAAAAGTGCTTTAATAATTTGTACTTTATGAAAAAAATGAAAAGTATTCAAATCTTATGTGTAAAATTTTAACGAGTTTTATTAAAGATTTCAATAATATCATGATTTTTGAAGGGAATCTGAAAAAAAAGGAAATATTTTGGATATCGAAGGGTAATCGTTGAAGAAAAAACAGAGTGAAATCTTTAAGGATTTTGATCTTTAAAGATTTTTCTAACTGAAGATTTTTTTTTAATGAAAATACTCATTTAATGATCAAATCTTTACTTTAAAATTCCAATTATTTTTTTTGCAAAAAAAATAGTATATAAGCAAATCTTTTGTGATTTTTTACGCATAAAAAATCATTCCTGGTGAAATGTCAAATTTTTTTAAAAAAATTATTTTGATCTTACAAAAAAAACTTCAATTTTGTGATTCGAAAAAAATGATTTTTTTTTTCAAACTTTGGAATTATACAATATAGTATTCTTACAGGAATTTTAAAACATTCTAAATGGGAGGAGAATGAGTCAAAAGCGAGAGAACCATTATTATAAAATTTTTGAGAATCTGGAATCAAAACGATCTATAAATAAATGTAATGTGGGTAAAAAAAATCAATAATATTAACACTCTAAGGTATTAGTAAACCATAATTTATAAAGAAAGTTAATTTTTTATTTTCAAAATAAGCTTACAGCAGCATCTTCAGAGTTATTGCACATGGCTAAGGCTAATTGTATATCTTTTTCTTCGAACCCCATTTCCTTCAAATTTGCTAAAGCCTTTAAAATGTTTTAGGAAAAGGAAATCATCATATTAAAAAAAAAAATTAAACCATTATTTATATTAAGTTTATCAAGTATTTTATTAGAAGTGATGTCATCTGCCTAATTTTAAAAGCACGAACCGGCCCGAAATTTTTTTAAAAAGTTTTGCCGGCCCGACCCGAATTTATTTAAATATAGAAATTAATTTTCCTATTAAAAACTTAAATTTTTCAAAAATTATTATACCTTACCTATAAAAAGTTTCAACAAATAAAATTAAATGTTTTTATTTTACATAAAAAATTCGACATAAAATTGATAAATTTAGATATATTTTAAAAAAATTCCAAGGCCCGACCCTACCCGGCCGGATTTTTTTAAAAAATATAAGGCCCGACCTGAAACCCGTAAGGGCCGGGCTTACTTTTGAAGATATATAATATTATAATAAAGCGACACAATGTAACAAATTATTAATGAAAATGTTTTTGGTAATAGTGTTGTTAAACTGCCTGATTCAAAATCGATTTTTAAAAATGGCCCGATTAAGATTAAGCCATACCCAAATCGGACTGTTTAACAACACTACTTGTTAGTCTCATAGGGCTGGCAAAATTTGTGATATTTTTGAAAATATTAAATAAATCGATTTTTTTTAAAAAAAATTTAAATCACGATTAAAACCGAATACCAATATTTCAATTAATGAAGTTACAAATTTCGATTGAAAAATATCATACATCATAATATTTTTTTTTTACCTTATATGATATTTCTTTGTAAAAGAAAATTATTGAAAATATATATATTGATAATTTTGTCAAATGAAAAGACTATCAATCAAAAATTCGATATGGGTAAACCAAATTGTTTAAAAATTTAATTAGTCGATAACTGTGATTCGGAAAGAAAATCATCCATTTTCTAAAACGAATACTATTATATCCTCAAATATAACTTTCAAACCAAATTTAAAATTTTATTTTTCGAAATAAAATAATGGTGGTTTTATTATTGTTAATTTTAGCTACTCTTATTACCCAATTGGGTGTCTTGATGCGTTAGCCAAATTTAAAATATTCGTTAATATGCCCCTAGTTTAAACTAATATTGATTATTAGTTTTATGGCAATTGTTTGGTATGTCCCAAAAATTAACATTTTTAAAACTCTCCCTCTTCTTCCTTTTTATGATAGAGGCGAGTATTCAAATTATATTATGATAGATATGGTTTATTTAACCTTTTTTTCTGAGGAAAATCAATTGTTTATAACCAAATATTACACAAATCAAATAAGTAATCAAATCATTTTTAAAATGTTTGGTTATTAGACATTTTTTTTAAAAATTAATTAAATCTAAATTTAATTAGTTTATTATTTAATTATTAATATATGGTTTGTTTTTATGATCCACCATCCTAAAAATCAACATTATAATAAATTCACAGACATTTCTTTTCCTATCTCCTAACCCCCAAATATATTTCAAATTTTTTAACAAACAATGAAACCGAAGTGGCATTAGAACGTGGATAATTTAATATCTTCAACCAATATCTTATCTATCAATCATGGTAAAATTCCAGGTTATATCTGATCCGTTTAATAAAATTATGTTTTCCAATAAAATAATTTTAAAAAATGAATGATGTTTAGCAAGACCATTTAATTAATAGTAAAACACATCTTCTATAGAATCATATGGAGTGTATTCCATACTTAGAAATCTTTTTGGAAAACTAGTTTTTTCTTAAGCAATTAAATCAAATACTGATGTTGAGTGCATAAAAAGTTGCAATGCACTGTCAAGGAATTTAAAAAAACAAATAGAATATGATTTTTTAACTAGCATTGAATTAATTTAATTATAATGATAATATTTTTATGGTGAATGCTAAATATAGTAAAATAAATTTTAAATAACTGATTAATTTTTATGTCTTTATTTTTTTGGAGTACAAACCCTGGAACCTGAACCGGTTACAGAGATATTTTAATAAACCAGAACCCTTTTTTTTAGACAATTAAAGATATCAATTATTTCATGAAACAATGAAATACAAAATATCAAGTATATTTTTATCTAATAAGTAATTATTATTAGTTCAACTTATTTTCATATAAAATTTAAAAAATTATACAAGTCTTTGTCTTTAATTATATTAAGTATTTTTATCATAATTAAAATTTAATCAAAAATATTGATTTTTATTGGCTCTCGTAGGTTATAATTTTGAGAATAATTGTATATTTACTAAAAAATATATATATATTAACTTGGGGATCGGGACTAAACTGCTTGCTCTTAAAGGCCCTGAAGGCTTTCAAAATTTTTTCGGGCGTGTCATTTTCTATGGACATAATGTCGTTAGAATAATTTACGGGTGGCGCTTTTGGTGATGACGTGGCAGCGTAGTTAGGGGAATCTATAGATGTAGGTTTATCACCACCATCTCGTGCAATTATATTGTCGATGGCAGGGGAATTGTTGTCGAAATTATCGTCCATCTCGCTTCTCTCGAGCAACCATTCAGCCGCTCTAGAGCTGTCCATCCTAAATATAAAATGAATTAATATTCACAAATATAATGTGGCTATAATAAATTAGAGGCGAGCGGAAGGGCGGACGGGAGCAGAGGGGGTGAGAGATTGGTCCAATTGCCCTAGCCTGTAAAATAATTTTATACAAGTTGTCCGTTCTGACATTTGCCATTCTAAGCTTTAAAAAAAATTTCATAAAAAATATTTTACGCAAGTTTTTGGTTTGGGTAAAAAAAAATTTTATAGGGCTTCAGTTGGGACTTATGACATATAGTACTTAGACTGACGAATAATTTTGAAATTTTTATCCATACAAATCAGCTGGTGATACGCCATTACGATCGCCTGTATAAATAATCTCCATTTTAAATTTCTGAACATCTTTTTTAAAAAAAAAAAAGTTTCACCTATTTATAAATAATTCTTTATGGGAAACCAAAAATGGCGTGTCACCTGGTGATTTAATTCATATTAATGAATGAATCACCAGTTTACGGACCTACCCTCTATAATAGATATCAGAGATCTGCAGGCCAGGCCAGGCCCGGGTACATGGGCTGTATTTTATTTTTTAAATATCCGGACCAGGTCTAAAAAAAAAAATTTTTTTAAATACTCGGTCAGCTCGGGGGCAGAATATTTTAAAACCAAATATTTTAAATCGCCAGTATTAACTATAAAAATTTTTAAAAAAATGTAATATATTTTTTTAAAAAAATCTGTAGGGACTGAAAATATAAAGCCCAAGCAGAGCAAGGCCGAGAAAAATTTTTATAACTGGCTAAGCTCGGTCTAAATATATTTTTTAAAAATTACGGGTCGAACTGTACAAATGGTATCTCTGCAGGTCTCTTAAAAATTATAGATATTATAACAATTATTTTTTTATATATTGGGTTTGTAATTGTATTATCATAATCATAAGTAACATCGAATACGAATACTCGACAAAATCACCACCCCCCCCCCCTCCTCAAAAAAATCCTCCTGACAAATAATCAAAAATTAATTTTGAAATAATTACAAGGATATGATTTGATATAATTAAAATAAAAATTTGGGGAGATTGGTAGGGGTAAATATGTCATTGGGAATTTTGTACAATTATCATTGAATAATCATTTTTTTCTTGTAAAATTCGATTAAGATGGATAATTTAATAACATTCCATTGTTCTTTTTTAAATAAATAAATCCCCTAAATTAAGAAATAATTTGTGAATCATAATATCTTATAAAAATATATAATATATAACTTGTTTAACAAGAGAGCCTTGATGGCTAATTTTTCGTTAAATCCCATTTCAACTAATCGACTTACTGAGGCTTGATTTAAGCCTTCACTTGGATTTTGTGCTGGTGTGTTCAATTTATCTATAAATATTATACATTATAATTGATCTCATTTGTTCTTACTTACAAAGAATGCCAATATATTTATATATATTTAATAATTTTTTAATATGACGAAATTTTAGCAATAAATAATAATCTTGGAAATGTATTTTAAAAAAAATCCAATAATAATGAGATCATATTATCAAGTAACCACTGTCTTTAATAAATTGCATGATAAAGAAGAATAAAAATGTCAAATGATATAACTCATGATGTTCTGTCAAATATACAACAAAAAATTAGCAATGATTAAAGAATGTAATGCAAGATATCTAGAAATCAGCAGCCAATCATGAAAGGCAATGATATTCTGATATTTTTTAAACTATTAAATCATCTATTGGTAGTGTTGTTAAATGGCTCAATTTTAGCTGATTTTTAATAATGTTTAGCTCAATAAGATTTAGATTATAGATGACATAATTCGTACATCTATTAGCGTAATCTCAAGCATCTGGAATTATCGGCTAATATATGGAGTTATTTGTTTCCTAAATTAGCCTAAATGGAGCCTTAAAGCAACACTCAAATTCAGGTATCTTCTTTATTAGTGTTGATAAATTGCTCCATTATCAGCAAACATTAATTGGCTGTTTTGAAAATTAAGCCATAAAATAGCTTTAACTTTAAGGATGAGCGATTTTGGAATGCTAATTTTTATCACTTATTAATATAATCTCTATAAGGTATGTGATAATCATTAAAAAAACATCATTTTTATATAAATATCTATCTTAGTTTAATGCAATTTATTAAAGATCACCTTATCTATAAAATTAAGTTTCAAATTTAATCAAATATATATTTTTAAAAAAATAACCATGATATTGTTGGAAAATATGGGATGCTTGAGGGTTTAAACATAGTAATCGATGAGATGTCTGTATTAAAGTTATCAAAACCCTTTTTATCTCAGTTTGAAACTAAAAACATTAAAATATATTAAAGAAATATAAATAATAAGATCATACATCTGATGCATAAGGCTTTAATTTTGGTGTTATATTGTTTAAATCTTTTTGTGGGAGAGTGGCTGTTGCTATAATAATTTCTTTCAATGAAGGGCCTAATGGAAAGTCTTTCTATTGTTCCAAATTTTTGTTATATTAATATATTTGTTATTTTATAATATTTCAAAATGTTTAATTGAAGGATTCATTCACTTTTATAATTAGAGAAAAAATATATGTTAATTTTTAAAAAGCATATAAACAGCTGTGAATTTTTATCTAATATAATTTATATTATTCTTATAATAATTTAAGAAAAATTATAAAAAGAAAAAGAGATAAATTACTTTATCATCATAAAAAACGGGAGGCTTTTTGATTAGAAGTATTTCATCTATATTTTATGTATTAAAAATTTAATTGATTATAATCAATAAAAAAGATATATATATTTATATTTTAAAAAAGTTATGAGTTAAATATCATCCATTTAGCAGTAGAAGATTTAAAAATGAAAAAAGGGATTACAAAGATTAGTATTATTTTAAAATTTAAATTATAATGATATATATACATATATATATACCTAAATCTCTGATAGACTCTTGCGAAATCGTTTTTTGATCATCTAGAGTTCGTGATTGTTTAATGTGTAGTAATTTAAAGCGAATAGATGCTCTCTGTTTCTCAGTAGGATTTTCTAAATAAGCCCCAAAATGTCCTAAGGCCATAAATTTGAGCTGTAGTAAAATTATACAATTAAATATATTATAAATTAAAATATAATAATATTAAATAAAAGATTTATGTAACTTTTTCTATAGTTGCATCAGGCTCAACATTTAGTTTACAAATATCCCCTTCTTTATTAAAAATATTGAGTTTCATATGATATTTTAGAAAAACTATTATGTTTACACAAGGAACATAATATGAAACTAATATTATATATATCCTAAAACTTGGTATAAGAGGAAAAATAATAATAGGAAGTTAAATACAAAACATCCCAAGTTAGATTTAAATCCTTAGAGAATCAAAATATAAAGGAGGAGTATATAAAACAAATTAGAGAAAAATTTCGAAACTTAAAGGACTCTGTTGACACTTTACCCACTTACTATGGGAAAATATTCTTGATATTTTCATTAAAGCAGCGTCCAATTCTTTACTGGTCAAGGGCAGTTACCTGGATTTGATTTCAGCTGAATCAAGGAAAATGATTGCAAATCTTGTAGGAACAGGACATATTAGAATAGAGTTAAGTATATTCTCGAAGATATCCGTCATAAATTACGAAGAGATAAGAGAAAATTTCTTGAAGACCAGGCAACAGAAATAAACAATTTTTTTAATACTAATGATTCATATAAAGCTTTCAAATTACTGAAATCGTTTATGTCATTCAAGAAATAGCAACTTTTTAAACTCAGTCAAGATACCAAAATGGTTACAGATCCCATTAAGCAGGTAAAAATTTGGATATCTCACTATACCAAATTTTCTAGTGAGGAAATTTAATTCATTAAATAATATTTCAACTAATTTAATATCAATGTCTCATACTGACTATTCTAACCTGCCATTTTAGCATAACTCACTACAATATCTCCCCCAACGACTTCTACCTCTAATTTTTGGCCTCAAAAACCAGCACTCCCAAAACCTCAACGACCTTTAACTTTGAATTTTAGCCTCCAAAACCAGCACTCTCAAAACATCTACGACTTTCTTCCTCAAATTCTCGATCTCCAAAATCAGCATTCCCAGTATTGGAACCCCATCCACATCATTTGATTAAGCTTCTACATACCAAAGTTCCTCTGCCTTTAACTAATGGATTCTCCCTCGATTTTCTTCTGATTAATGTCCTTCTACCTCAAACTTCTGGCCCCTAACACACCCACATAGTACCGAGTTCCCATCTATACAATCTTCACTAACTCAAACAGTAAATATTTCCAATCAAAATCCTTCTACCTCAAACCTCTGGCCTCTAACACATACACATTGTACCGCGATCTCATTCACACAATCTTCACCAACTCAAACAATTAATACAGATAGAACTCCCTCCACCCCCTATCAAGAGTGAAATAATAACTAAAATAAAAAAACAAGAAAAACATAAAGCTTGCGGGCTAGATAATATACATAGAGAGTTTTTTGAAAACTGACCCACTTTTATGCGCGGAGATCCTCCTCCCAATTATTACCAGAGTCTGGAGTGAGGGTTCTTGCCCAAGTGATTGGCTAACAGGTATCCTTATAAATTTATTAAAAACACAAAGTCCGAAATGTCTTGAAGACTGGAGTTAGATCTCACTAAATTCAGTAATCTATAAGATATTTGTTAACATTATCCTAAATAGATACAGATCATTAGTGGAATATGATTACGTAGACTCAATAGTAACGTTTCAGAAAGGGGCATAATGAAGCCATTCTTGCGTTTAAAATCCGAAAGATCTATTATACGGAAAAGACAATTGATTATTATCGCTCTTGATTTCAGAAAATCATTTGATTCAATTATCCATGCTCGTTTGTGGAAGGTCTTGGAAGAAGTAGGCTCATCAACACATCTGATAAATTTGATAAAAATTCTTTCTAAAAATTACTCTGTCCACTTAATTCATGCAGGGAAGAAATCGCTGAAAATCCCCATAAAAATTTTGAAGCAGGGATTGTTTTATCTCCCATTCTATTTAACTTTATTACTACTTATAGCATAAAGAAAGCCAAAATATCTTGTACTGTTCAGATGCCCATTGGGAACCTTAATATTCTGGCATTTGCAGATGATTTTTGTCTAGTGGGAGAATCATCATTCACCCTCGATTTTTAGTTAATAATATTATCGATGAAACTAGATTCTTTGGGTTAGAAATAAACATTAATAAAACTAAACCTCATCAGTCACCCCTTCGCATGTGAATATAGCGATTCAAAGGAAGTTGATTGCAAAAGTTAAAATATTTAGGAGGAATATTAGACAGGAAGGGAAATACTAAACATGATATAATAATCAAATTAAATAATGCTAGATTAAAATATATTTCTCTAATGAAAATATGGTCATGAAATCAAATATCAATACCATCGAAGATCCGTCTATTCAAAGTTCTAATAGTTAATTCCTTGTATAATAGAATCGAAACTTGGAGTGACACTAAACATGATAAAAATAAGATACAAATCTTTTTTAATAAATGCCTTAGATATATAATCAAAACCTTCTTCACACATAATACAACTAACTATATTCTTTGGTCCAGATGTTACACTCTCCCAATTTATAAAATAGTAGAATACAGAAAAATAGAATTAGTAGATCATATCATGAGACAAGCTCCTAAAAATTTTATACGTAGCACTCTTTATTATATCCCCTGAGGATTCACCTCTCAACTCTTCCTAACCTATAAAAAACAGTTTGGTTCGGCATGATAAATAGATCTTTAGCGGATATAGTTATTACCTGGGAATTCATTAAACGAGCTTCTGCTGATAGGAAAACCTATGAAAAAAATTCTAAATCTTATTTATGAACATCTGACGAATGTCTGCTAATGTAAACCTAATTTTAAAAAAGTAAAAAAATAAAAGAATTTTGTTAAAAAAAATAGTCTATATCCAATATTATTCCATATAGATATTATAAGTAAGTATACTCCTTAACTGTTAGCACTTAATAAATAATATTAATATACATAAAAGTAGTCAATATTTAATATGATATTTTAAGTTATATTAAGAAAGTTCTCCAATATTATTCAACTCCTAGTACTTTAAGAAATGTTATTCAGCTTCTATACATATAATTAATGTCTGTTGAAGGAATTTAAGAAATGATATTACTTTTATTTAAATGAGAACTGATTGAGATAAAACAAATTTTTTTTTAAGTAAAGATATTAAGATACTTCATGGTTATTATTAGTTCCAAATTTAGTCAGTTATAAAATAATAAGGTATATTAAGGTTATTTAAATATTAATAAAATTTATCTAGATATTTTACTAAATATTTAAAATACGTAGATTTAAAAAAAAAATTTAATAGCTAAACGGAAACTCTAAATAATTAAATAATAACTATTTTGTATTTCGAAGAAATAGCCTTCTTTCCTTCTTTTTCTTTCTTATCTTCTTTCTTTTCTTTTCTTCTTATCTTGTTAGGGTGTAGTTCCACTCTTTTATGTAAAACTACTGAGTTATAAGGTTTGTTGGTATCCTTAAGAAAAAATCGTCATAATTGTTTGGAGGGTAGGCCTTCATATAATTCACGTTCGCTCACTTTGGGCAGGTCTGTGACCAACGTGCTTGATATGATATGATTGATTTATTAAAATGTGTGCAATGTTTTTATTATATTATTTCATGAGATATTTATTCAAAACTTATTTATGTAAGAAAATAATTTGCCCAGTAATTATTTTAAAAAAATAATGGTATTTAAAATATTTTTGGAGAAATTTTAACTAGTGTTGTTATATGGCTCGCTTTGAACCGATTTAATTAATGGTTAACTTAATATTTTAGGTAGAAAAATATTGCCCAGGCCTCGAGATTTTAATCCAAACCTTTTAGCAATATGAACAAAATATTTAAAATTGCGTAATATTTTTCTGGATATAATATTGAGTTAACCATTTTTGAAATCGGATATTGCCATTAAACAACAATTTGAAAGTTGCAGATATTTGTCTCCTCCAGGAAAGGGGTGGATGAGAGAATAATTTCGCATGCCCCGCAAGAAATTTGTAAAAAGTCGAAACTATAACTGAATATTTGTCATGGCAGCTTAGAGCTATGCCCTTTTGGTTTAGCCGTATGCCTTCTTGAGTTCTCAAATTTTATTGTTATTTATTTATTTGTTGACTCTGCGAATTTTACGGGCTATCTAACAATATTTAATAATAAAATAAAACTACTAATGGATAATATTTAAGTTTATTTATTTGTTGACTCCGCCATCTTTACGGGCTATCTAACAATTTATAATAATAAAATAAAACTACTAATGGATAATATTTAAGAACAAGAATTAATCTTGTTATATATATATATATTTTAAGTTTAAGTTATACATTAATGATAATTTATTTTAGTTTTAAAGTTTTGATGTCTTAGGACATTAACAAAAATATCATTAACACGATTTATATTTAAACTTAGTTTTTGCCAATTATATTATATCTTTGTTTTTTTTAATTTAAATTCAGTTTATATCACCCTTTAAATTACATTTTATTTATTATTGCATAACTTAAAATAATTGATTTATTACTTATTGATAATATTTAAATTGTTGATAAAAAATGATATATATTTTGAAACATGATTTAATAAAGTTATAGTTAAATATTTAAAATCTGATTTGATGACAATTATAGAAGTGTTAAATACATTAGTCCTCAACCACACCAATTCTTCTTTATATAACAAATCTTATTGTTTAAATTGTCCAAGAGTGTAGGTAAATAATTAGTCACCTCGGTAAGAGTTCAACACAAGTCAGTCAAAGCTGCTTGATAAATAAATTAGAAAGGGATGGAAAAAATTAAATTGCTTAGCCTTAAATAAGGTAATCAAACGATCATTTAAATGATATTTAAAAAAATTATTATATTTTTTTAAATGGGAATTTTAACTAATATCAAAAATTACCCTGTCATAGTTACTGCCAATTCGCGGCCAGGTGTACTAATATAAAGAATATATAATATATTTCGCTGAGAATCCGTGCCAACTTTGAATTAAGGGTTATACCTGTAAAATAGAAATTAGAGATCTCAACGGCTAGGATCACTCAAAATCCCAAAATCTGACGTGCAAGTCTGGATAACTTAGCGTAACAGGATTTTTAATGGATGCGAACCCCCCTCAAAAACTTATGCCTGCCACCCTA